AGCGTCGATGTGCACAGCCATTCACACGTGCCTCGCGGGCCGCTTTCTCAAACCCCTGAGCTTCCAGGGCCCTTACGCGGGCCTTGGACCCCAGCCGCAAGAGACTTCACGTATAAACAATCGATCCTCCTAGCTCGTACAGGCGGACATTCCACTATTTGGGCTAGCCGTAATAGTTCGTGTTTAGCTGATCCTGTGATGTATTCACTATTCAAGGTGCATTTGTGGTTGTGACTTGTGACTTTCTGACAATGGGCCCTGGGCTATTCCTACGTATTGTAAAACTTGATGAAGCTGGCTGTAGCTACAAGGAAAAGACCAGCGATACTGCCCACAACACCAAGAACCGCCGCCAACACCACCACTGCCATCATCACCAGCAACAACAACAACAACAACAACAATAACAACAACAACGTACAACAGCATACACCACCGCCACCACCATGCACACGGGTAAACGCACGTATTGTAACTCTCACTCACCCCAGCATCACTGATCAGGTGTTCATCCCAGGGTTTCCCCTTGAAGCTGCCGCCTCCATTCCACCGATACTCGCTCATGCACCCTCCGCTGCCCAGCTCTGCAATGACAGCATCAGCACCTATGTACTAACCTACTGTCACGTAGGGCCACAATTAAAAAAATCGTTGTTTGCCCTCACCCGACCCAGGCCACTTTTTTTGGAGGGGGGGGGTCTTTTTACAAATTCAGCATGGTGTCTACATACTCGGGTGTGCTTGTGTGGAGATACCTTTTATGTTAAATGTTAGTTTTGCTTGGTACATATAATGTATTGCCTACAGATGTATATAATGTACAGTGATACAATTTGTAAAAAAAAAAGAATGGGAAAGATCAATAAAAATGTTTGAGTGGGCCCCTTTTTGGCTGGTTGGTCGGGTGAGGGCAAACAAACAATATTTTTATTATGGCCCAGGGTATAACATCGATGTAGGGGGAGGAATGGGGGGAAAGGTAGGGCCATCCATGGGGTCATGGTACCTCAGTGTGGCAGCTATTCTTGACACAAAGAATTTTAGCTTTATTTCGGATCTACTCATCTTTCCCTTCAATTATTGATCCTTACCTGCTCTTGCTTGCTACTGGTGTTCAGAAAAACAAAACAATTTACAGCTAAATTTTATACACACAGAGACATTTTTAGCTTTTTAAAGACGAGCGCAATTTTGTGCGATGTTTGCGGATCGCCTGAGAGCCTACCGCGTATCCTGTTCACCAAGTACTCCTGGTTCGACGTCACGTCCAGGTAGGGAAGAACGGTGTTCAGCGTTGGGATGTGCTGCCCTCTGGTGAGACTTATTTGCCGCAGTGACGAGATGCTGACATCTGAAATACGTCGGCACGCGCATGAACCTCTCTGCGATAAAATAACGACGACATCACCGGTCGAACACCCCCCGACAGTAGCATCAACATCCCCCTTACACCCCCCTCCCCCAGCGTACGAGAATAGTTGGTTCCAAGTCACGAGATGCTACTGGAATCTTGCCAACTGGGATGACGGGAGCATGTAGAGTTGTAGACAGAGAGGGCAAGGGTGGATGCGCGGGCAAGCAAACAGCAAGAACGACAGCCGCAGCTTTTTCGCCGTCATGGGCTTCTCACAGTGGTGAACTTTGTTCGCGAAGCATCGACCGCTGCACACGCTAACCGCATTGCACGGCTGCATCACGGGTTCACAACAGCGTGGAATAACATCAACTATACGCACGTGCTCCAACAGCCACCCAACTAACACAGCACTAACTAGGTCGGGCAGGTCGGCATGCGCAGCGGAAACTGGCTTGTTATATGTGGGTCTGCTGACTGCAGCTATATTTAGTGCAATACTGAACTCATCATCAGCAACAGCATCAGCAACAGCATCAGCAACAGCATCAGCAATACTGTTACTAGCGCAGCGAGTTCAAACACCTCAGTAAGACCTCAGTCGACGTGTCAGCTAGAAAGCTATAACTAGCATGACCACCGTCAAGCCATGAGCATCCTGCAGTAAGCACGAGAGGTAGGAGATCTAGAGCAGCAACGAACATACGAGGTAAATATCCCGCATCTCGTTATTATAGTAAACTCCACATCAATTATCAAGCGCCACGCACACACGGTTTGTGTGCTCTTTTAAAATCATAGAACACGGATGATGGCAATGAACGGTGGCGTACATCAATGTTCTCAAGAGTAAAGGATAGGAAATTTGCAGTAAAAAAGATAGTAAGGGTAATAAGTGTAACAATAAGGGTTTCGTTACTACTGGTAATATTATCAGGAGTGTCATAATATAGATTATGTCACTATATTAGACAGTCTATATTATGACAACCCTGTTATTATAATCGAGTGCACGCCTCGTTATGTGTGGTAGTGAGAGTGGCAACCACGAGAGTGGCAGTCCTACACACTACCCCAGAAGATTCATCTCTTTGTCACCCTCTCTCTCTCTCTCCCATCCCTGCCTTCTCCCCCTTTCTCTTCCCACTCGTTCTCTCTCTCTCTCTCTCTCTCTCTCTCTCTCACATTCTCTCGCTCTCCCATTCCCCCTTATTCCCCTTTCATTTCTCACTCTTTCCCTCTCTCACACACATTCTCTCTCTCTCTCTTTCTCACACTCTCAGTCTCCTCATTCTTCCTCCCCATTCACTTTCTCCCTGCCATCTCTCACTCCGCGCCCACCATCATCCCTCCTGCCCTTCCCGGGTGCAAACACTTGTTACGAGTAATATTGTAACGTAGCAAAACCTTCTTGGTCTTATAGTTATTGCATAACATAGAGATGTAGATTGCTTGGGAAATAGGAGTGGAAAAAACGTACTAAACAAGGACATCGTGCGATTAATTAACAACGTTTAATTAAGTCCATTTAGGAGATGATATTATTGATGTCATAATTCTCCTATTTGTGGTTTCTAATAGATATGACAACAGTGAACATTCATAAGCAATCATAGAAAGAGTAATAAACCAGGGAGATGGCAACGGGCCAGATCCACGGGTGTTGCTCAACCAACACGCCAAATTCCGAGGGGGTCACTCACTAATGAATTAAGGGAGAGCGCCTCTGATTGCGCGAGAAAGAGGGGAAGCCCATGCATAGGTCAGAGAGAAAGAAAGAGGACTTTCCTATCAAAAGAGGTGACGGACGAGACCCGGGAGTCGGAATTTTTGTAATTTTGGTAATTTTGGAAAAAAAATTTTAGCGGGCGTCTGGCAGTCTTGATTGATGCAACTTAATTGTGCTCCTGAGAATAATGATCGTGTGTCCTGTGACTCGCCTGTTCAAGTTTCAATACGAACATTTGGCATCTACAAACATTAACCCTACAGAAAGAACCCCCACTACAGTATATCACATCTACAGCTTCATGTGCAGCTCTACAGTTTGTCGTGTTTCCATGCGTAATGTGCCCTCCCCTCCCCCACGCAAGTAGACATATCACACGCCACCACGCATCTCCGATTGGCAACGCTCAGCCAGATTCTGCTATCCATCCGCTCCTCTCGTCTCTATCTCATCTGCATCGCTACATTGTATTGTCATGCCTGCGTCTTTCAGATAAGTGGCACAGTCGTGGCAACCGAACACTCTAAAGATGGTGCTCCTGTCTGGCAACATAGACGCCACTGTTCTCACTCTCCAGCAGGGCGCGCCACCCGACGAGCTAACCCCTGCCATGCGGCTGTGGCGGGCGTGTTGCCACGGTGACGCAATCACCGCAGAGCAACTGCTGAATCAGGGTGCGGACGCTAATGCGCGAGATGAAAAGGGAACGCCACTGTTGCACGTCACCGTGGCGACGACAACTAGACACGAGGTGGTACCCCCGTACAGTGAATGCCTGCAGCTACTGCTGGCGTACGGTGCACTGACAGATGCTGCCGACAGCAGAGGGCGCTCCGCACTGCACGTTGCGTGCGAATGCGGCAATCTCACCGGCGCCACCGTGCTGCTGTCGCACGCGGCGGACGCGCAGGCATGTGACGCCGCCGCCCGCACACCGCTGCACACCGCCTGCGACCGCCACCGCACCCAGCGCCCCCTGGTGGAGGCGCTGCTGGAGGCAGGCGCGGAGGTGGACGCTCGCGACGCGGCGGGAAGGACGCCGACGCACGTCGCCATCGCACGACGAAACTTCAGCGCCGCCTGGTGGCTGACGGAGGCTGGCGCCGACCTGGACGTCGCCGCAGCAGATGGTGCCACCGTTGCGCACCTCGTCTGCCTCTACCTGTGCGTCGTGCAGAACTGCGGCCGGCAGCAGTGGCTCGACCCGGTGGCGCTGCTCATGATCGAGCACGTCTTCGCGGGCAGGGGGCGCCACCGCGCGTGCGTCGATCGCACCGACCGCGACATGACGATGCCGTACCGACTGTGGCGCGCGTTCGTGCGCTTTCTCGAGAACTGGCGCTCGACGGCCGTGCGCGGACACGAGGACCGTATCGACGCGATAGATGGCGCTGCTCGTTGCCGCTTCCACTTCCGGCTGCAATGCGTGGTGGCGCGCGCCGTCGTCGCCGCGGGCGTCGCCTACAGGGGGCGCCTGCCGCCGACGCTCGTCGAGTTTGTGGCGCAGCACGACGGGCGGAGAACGTACGGGGGAGGTTGCGCGTAGGTCGTATCGGCTCGGCACACGTGATCGTCCCACCCTTACTTACTAATATACTATTATCAAGGTTAAATAATACTAAATTAATATAAATTAATATACTATTATTACGGTATATACTTAACCACAACCTTACAACCGCTTCCCTCTCCCTTACCCCACCACAACCTTACACCCGCTCCTCTCCCTTACTCCACCACAACCTTACAACTGCTCCCCTCTCCCTTACACCCCACCCCTCTCCCTAACTCCACCACAACCTCACACCCCACCCCTCTCCCTTACTCCACCACAACCTTACACCCACTCCTCTCTCCCTTACTTCACCACAACATTACACCCGCTCCTCTCTCCCTTACTCCACCACAACCTTACACCCGCTCCCCTCTCCCTTACTCCACCACAACCTTACACCCACTCCTCTCTCCCTTACTTCACCACAACCTTACACCCGCTCCCCTCTCCCTTACTCCACCACAACCTTACACCCGCTCCCCTCTCCCTTACTCCACCACAACCTTACACCCCACCCCTCTCCCTTACTCCACCACAACCTTACACCCAGTGTGCGTGTGCGTGTGCGTGTGTTGATGTGTGCGTGAGTGCGTGCGTGTGCGCGTGTAAGTGAGTTTTTTAACGTGTGGCTATGCGTCTGATCGCAGGAGCAGCCCTACTACAGCGACGTGCTCAGTCGCTTCATCCTACGCTACAACAAAGCTTCACAGTCCAGCATCGACGCTGAAGTCACGTTACCAGCACACGAGCCCGTCATACGCCTACTCATAGAATTGCTCAAGTTTTCCCTCGTGAGTATAGCTAGCAGTACGCGCAAAGTATCTATTAGTGCGCACGTACTTCGTCCGCGTTAGTGCGTCTTCAGCATGCTTGCAGTACGCTAAACGTAAACGTATCGCCCAACCCTAACACTAACCATAACCTCCAACCCCAACCCTAACCCTAACCATAACCTCCAACCCTAACACTAATCTTAAACCTAATCTGAATGCTAAACTAAGCATCTATCCTATACCTAATCATGACCTCTACCACTAATCCGTACCTTAACACTAACCCTAACCCTAACCCTAATCATGACCTCTAACACTAACCCTAACCCTAACCATAACCTCTAACCCTGACCCTAAACTTAAACCTAACCCGAGCACCTACCCAAACCCTGATCATCACCTCTACCACTATCCCTAACCCTATTCCTAACTCTATTCCCTAATGGGGCATACATCTATTTGCAGGACCCTGTCGGACACAACATTCTCTGGCTTCAGCTACTGGAGATGTTCTGCCACTTTAGTCAGAACCTGTGCATGATGGTGGAGTACGAGGCAGCTGCTACGATCATGGGTACGATGGCGGCCCATCGCGCTTGCCCCGAGATACAGACGTATGCCTGTCAGGTGCTAGCCTGGCTGGCCAACTACAGGTGTCTGCCCTACGACAAGGTACGCCCTCTGCCGGGGTGTGAGAGCAGTAGTGTGGCGGCGTGGCTCGGCGTTATTGAGGGTCTTCTTAGCGGGAGAGAGAGCGTGAGAGTAGAGAGATAGAGTGGGGGAATAGAGAGCGAGAGTCAGAGAGAAAAGAGAGAGAGGGAGACCTAGAGAGAGAGAGAGAGAGAGAGCGAGCGTGTGTGTGTGTGTGTGTGTGAGAGAGAGAGAGAGAGAGAGAGAGAGAGAGAGAGAGAGAGAGAGCGGAAGGTAAATAAGGACACTGCGCTGGGGAGTGGGAGAGGAGAAAGA